TTCTACTTACATCTACGGTGGCCAACCATTAATCAAAATTTTCCTCTTTTGATTCTATTTTCATAATAAAGTATAAATCTTCTTGCTTTTGATTCTACTTACATCACCGGTGGCCAACCCCCCCCTCTCTTCCCCAGAATCTCTTAATAACCACTGGACCACCATGAGTTGGTTAATATTAGACTTCTTTCTCATAGATACAATCCAATTATTCAATTCAGAATTCACGTTACTAGCAGTAACATAAAGAGTCTTGGTTGATGAAATAGTATAAGAAGGAACCTGTATCTCTGAAAGAATGCAGCCATGCATTGCCATGACCGTGAAAGCGCAATGCCTTACTGCACCGCTAAGTTTGACATAGTTTTTCCAGGGATGGTTAAACGTTTTGTAAGGTCCATGTGGAGGCTCCCATAAGGCGAAATCAAGCTGCAAACAAATGAGGTTTTTTAATGCTATATCACCCAAAATTCTTATGAACTTTCAACAAAAAAACAATAAGAAAAAAAAATTCTTGTGAACTTGTCTCTGTTGCAAACATACCAAAGAATCTTCTTGGCTTGTAGATTGAACAGCGGACCTATACCCGCTGTATAATGGATCATCCGAAGCTTGGTATGTGAGAATCTTTGACGGTATTCTCTCGTATTCCACACATTGCAAGTAACCATTAACACATCCTAAATAGTTGAAGTTAAAAAAAAAATCTGGAACAAGGGACAAGAAAATAATAAGCTGCCATGTTACGTTAGATTAATGTTTGTCTACCTTCTAGGGAATTTGCCACAGTCTTGAAATTTTTAGCCACCAGTTTATGGAGATCTTCCCCCGCCCAAATTGGAAATATCAATATACTCACAAGCAAACAGATTGTTGCACCAAGGACAATAAGCAAAATCCGGTAATACGCAGTGCTAAAAAAATCTCTCGAGTTGTTCCCCGAAACAAGAACGATACAGAATGTCAATTTAAACACCCTGAATGTATATTCATATGGCTTCATTGCCGGGTAGAGTTTCAAATAACTAGCACTGAAACCTGATAGAGACAAAGATAAAATGTTAGTATCCTCGATCATCGGTTGTAATGGATGAGAGGAGATAAGGAAAATGCCACAAACCTGCTAGGAAAATGGAGATTAAGATGATGAGTTCCTCAAATTCTCCTGATAAAAGAGAGAGTTGTGCGACGGCAAGAGCAAGTCCTCCAGCCATCAATGTGCCTAAAGCTCTGTTGAATCCTTTGACCAAAGTTGCTCCTGTAAATTAAACAAACATAAGAGTGACTC